CCTTTTTCTGATGATCCATCATATCTTGCGGACAACCAAGACAAGTTTTCACATAATTTGAATTGTCGCCCCGCCTTTGAGGCCAGTAGTATGCACATTGTAGTAGTGCGAAAGTGCGCTTTACAGTAGTCTCACTTCCCAACATTTCTCCCAACTGTTTCCGAGGCTCTTCAAGCTTCGGTTGAGACATACAACTTGGTACCCTGGTGGGAGGTTGGCACCCGAAACAAGTTCAATCTCACGATCAATTGCCCTCCTTGGTGGAAATTTCTTTGGTAACTCGCTCTACTTGATGTCCTCAAATTCCTTAACAAGCCTTCTGACAGGTTTTAGAGTCGGACCAGTTGCCTCTTCGATCTCCTCTAATCGAAGAGTGCACAAAAATGAGGGTTCATTCCTCTTGAAACCCTTACTATATTGCATGGCCGAGATACCCCGCTCTCTTGTTTTCCAAACTTGTGTGGGGATAATGCATGGTCTACCACCCATCATTAATAACGAGTAGAATGCGGTAACACGGCTGTTCTTGTATCCCGAAGAAATTCCAATCCCAGAATGAGCTTGAAATCATCCATTTGAACTGCTGACAAGTTCATCCTTCCTTCGAAGGGACCTACTTTGATCGACACAGATTTTGCTACTCATGCTGTTGGTTGAGTAGCGGAGTTGATTGATTTAACTTTCCCCTTACCTCTCTCTAGAGCAAGTTCGAGCCGCTCTACTTCGGTACTTGCGAGGTAGTTGTGGGTAGCACCGAAATCTATCATAGCCCTGATCGGCTTCCCATTGATCTTCACATCAATGTATATTAAGCCTTTCACTCTACAATTGTGAGCCTTCGATTCTTCCATCTTTGGCACTTTCGAGGGACCTATTCCCTTTTAGTAACTCGGTGCGATAGTGCATTGCATCGATGTGAGAATGCACCAACTACATCCTCATCTTTTTCTTTGATTTGGTTCCGCCACTTGCTAATTGGCAATATGCATTCACCATCCATTTCTGAGGACACTCCGCCACTCGATGGGGTCCTTCACATAAAAAGCACTTCAATTTAGGACGGCATCAGGTCGCCCTCCTTTGCTTTTCCTTGGTTCCAATTATTACTTTGACTGTTGCCTTGATAGGCTCCTCCCCAATTTTGAGAGTAATGCTCTTCCCCATTTGAGCTTAAGCTGGGTCTATGAGGTCTATTTCCACC